AGTCAGTTTGCAGAATAGGTTGAATAGTCATGATCAAATAGGCAAGTTAATATGAATAAGGTTGAATGAGGGGTTTGCATTAGCAGGTCTTGTTAAAGAGACTTGGTATATATCACAGAAGTTGATGTTGAGAAAAATATGGAAGAATAATCTAGCAGACCTAGTTCTATTAAAGGCAAGTGACTTGGGAATTTTGGTTAGTGCAAACACAGAGAAGTGGCAAGTGTTTGGAACAGGCCCTATGATTATAAAAGTTTTAGGTGAAGAATTTTTTGACAAACACTACAATACTATAAGAAGATTTAATTTGTTCAATATCAATCAGCTAATTAATGAAGCTAGCACTGAGATAATAACTTGGAGCAAGTTTTGGGCTTTGCGAGCTAATTCACTTAAAGGATGAAAAGCAAAGTAGTTTGGAGCCATCGAAAACAAGATCATTAGCATTAAGCCAAGCAGAGAAGTAGTAGATACATACAAGTTGCCAGTAAGACACACATTGTGTATACAGATTATTGCAGAAAAGATATCAAGTAACAAGAGACATCGAGAATGGGTAATAGTAAATAAGAAAATATGAAGTTAATAGTAGGTAGAGTTAAGAAGAAGATGAAAACACATTTTTTAGTTGATCACTGGAAATACATGCCAACAAGAGACAGTAGTAATGTAGTGTCAAAATGTAATAAATGCAGTTTTGATCAGGAATCGAAGGTGATACATGCTAACAAAAAGTTATCAAGAGAGAAGTACTAGGGGCAATTCCTAAGTCAGATATAAATAGAAGTAAGGAATACCAGTGTTAATAAATGAAGTAAAAGAGTTTAAGTCAGAGAGGAATTTAGTTTTAGAAAAGAGTAGTGAGAGACCACTAATCAATTTGATAGTTGTGCATTTGCATGAAAAGAGTTTAGTTATAGAGCAAGGTTTTGATGTTGTACTTGAGTCCTTGCTAGTATAGCAAGTAGAAATTAATTGTAGAAAGGAGAGTAGTAATTATATTTTTTATACAGATGGATCATTAATGAAGGATAGTTTAGGTTGTAAAATAGAAGCAGGTTGGGTTTTGGTGGATAGTAGTGAAAGAGAGATGATTTTAGAAGGAAAGGTTCATTTTAGTAGATGGCCATTATCAACGAAAGCTAAGTTAGTAGTGATTTGGATGTCACTGTTAACAGTTAAATGCAATAGCGAAGTGGTTATTAAGCTCGATAGTGTAGCAGCAATAGCAAGTTTGTTTAACACAGCATTGTTAACTGATACGAGATTGTGGAGCAAGAGGCCAAATGTTGACTTGGTGATCAAGATTCTTGATAACTGCAAGTCAAAGAATATTACACTTGACCTAGTGAAAGTTAAAGCACTTAGTAACATGAGATGGAATGAAAGGGCTGATTAGCTGGCAAAAGAAGAGATGCAGTTAGACCAAATTTCGGCTTTACCAGTTAAAAACAATCACTGCAAGTTATACACAGTGCATCTAAACAATACACCATTGGAGTTGTCCACGAGAAAGGTGGCCAAAACACTTTTTGGCCTTAAAACTGGTACAGAGTGGAGAAGCTCACATGCTATATGAACATTTGAAAGTAAAGAAGACACCAGTCATGATTGGCAAGCATTATGCCATCAAAATAGAAAAGCAACTGGAAATAAGTGCAAGTCTTATAGTGCAAGTCCTATAGCGCAAGTAGAAGTATAGCATTCAGAATCAAGTGTATAAGTGAGAATCTACCAGTTCTTTCGGTCTTGAAGAAACGTAAACCTGACTTATATCCAGCAGATTTATGTATTAGTTGCAAAGTTGAAAAGGAGACACTGATCATCTAGTTGAGTGTACTAGCTTTTCGTTTTTCTGGAACATAATTGAAGACGTAGCATACTCGATTGCTTGGAAGAGAATAGACAAAGTATATAGAAAGAGAGCTCCTATTAAAGTTTTCAGAAATATAGTAGTCAGTAGCACAGTTGAAAAGCAGATCAAGCGAAGAAAAGATTATATTCGAGATCTCATCCCAAATGAAGTAGTCGATAAGCTCTTAAATCGGCAACTATCTAGAAGAGTTATAGACAAGGCAATATTAAAGTACAAGACAATTGTTGAAAATAGTTTTTGTGATGAGATCTGGCAAAAGAGATGTCGGTTCATAATTGCATAGGAAAAGCAAATGGTATAGTTCCAGTGATGAAACGAAGTAGGTGTGAGAAGAATATCACACATGATGGCGAAAGTAGCACTGTATCTAAAGTATGGAGAAGCAAAATTATCATTAAACAGAATAATGAAAGTGCTACAGTAAATTTTAAGAGAATAGTGGAAATAAAGCAGTTGTTTGAGGAGGGTGTAGTAAAATGGATTGAGAGTGGATTAACCTCATTTTGGTTTAGTTTTTGATAGAGCTGACAACGTCTTCTAACCACATGTAGGTTGGTGCGACAAGTCGCATTTGGGTGCATAATATGTAGCCAGGTAATGTCGAGTTTGCAATTTTAAATTAGTGATTATTAGAAATAGCTTTAACCTTTGTTTTTAGTCTAATAGTTGTAATAATTTGTATTTGAGCTTTGACAAGACTGTCAAAGAATTAAAAAAAAAAAAATTTTTTTATATAATTTAATAATTTTTATATAATTTAATAATTTTATATAATTTAATGATTTTTAAATAATTTAATAATTTTTATATAATTTAATATTAAATTTAAATTCAATTTTAATATTTTCAACTCTTTTCAATGTTTTTTGTAATATAAAAATCCAAATATGTTTTTTGTAAAAACACAATAGTTTATAGTAAAAAATAAAAGGTATACTAGCAACTATAAGATAGTAGTTGTTATTTAGAGATAGTTCTTATATACTACCTGCTAATAGCTTTAGGGTTTATTACTTATTACATATACAGCACTTGTAGTTTAAAAGTAGTTTTCATATACTAGCTAACAAGTTCTAAGTTTATTACTTATCAATAGAAGAGTATGGGTGTCTTATCTCTTTCTTAGAAGAAGGTTTATTAGTATTTTAAATCATCTATTCAAAAAACATGACAAAAAATTTCGTCTTTTAAGTAAAATGGGTCAAAAACAATTTCATCTTCAAATTTTAATTTTGGGTTTTAGAACCTGAAATAATTTCGTTGGCATGTATAATCCTAATAGCAATATTTATTTCTTGAAATTTTTAGTAAATAATCTAAAATTAAATAAATTATTAACTTAGATTAATAAAAGTTCATATATATACTAAGTCAGAATAATAAAAATAAGCATACTGAAAATGTGTACAAGGTTGTGCTCCAGATATTAGTTCAGATGGCTACTCTGGAATTCAAAATTTCTAATAAACTTATGTATATTGTTTGTAATTTTGAAAATATAGTAAATTCTTTTGATAAATATGTTAATATAGAAACTTTTTTTTTAACAAAAAATTTTATTATAATAGATTTGTATATTTTATTTAAAGAAAAGAAACCTTTAAAAAACCAAAAGCTTAATAATTTTATTCAATAAATTATATATATATAAGGTAAAGGAGATATTATAACGTACATGTGATATCTCATGACGCAGTAATCAGAATCAGTTGATTTTACTATCATTCGATTTGTCTCGATAAGATGAATTGAATAGCAGTAAAATTATCTGATTCTGATTACTGTGCCATGAAATATCGATGTTTAAATAAAATAAGATATTTTGTTTTAGTCTTTTAAAATTTGAATCTTTAATTATTTGTACCTTTTGATGTAGTGAAGAAATCGAATGATTTTGGTACCATTCGCCTTGTCTTATTGAGATGAATCGAATGGTACCAAAATCATTTGATTCTGATTACAAGTTCACAAGATATTATATGTGTGTCATAATTGGTCTATGTACAATAATTTATTGATTTTTTTGGGTTTGTTTTAATTTGTAGTATTTCATGATCTAGTGGCCAGAAACGAACAATTTTGGTACCATTTGATTTGTATCGATGAGACAAATCAAATGGTATTAAAATCGCTTGATTCAGATTATTTAGTCACATGATATTGACCATAAAAGTTAACTACGTCATGATACCCCTTTACTTTATATAACAGTATGACAAACCTCTATAATAAACTTGTTTTTTCCAGTACATCAGTTTATTGTAGAAATAGTTGGCTATAACGTATTTGTAATAATAAAAGTAACATTAAAGATAATTTAAAGAACTAGAAAATTTTACTTATGAAAATACAAACATGTTATTTAAAGAACTTTTAATGAATAAATAAAACTCCTAAAATTTATTATATAGCTTCATGTTTTGTTGTGTAATTATTTATTTAATATTAAAGAATTTGAAGCAAAATTAGTAAATTAAATAAATAAATAGTTATGCACAAAGATATAAATAAGAGTTATTAAAGGTGAAGTACAAAGTAAAGTCAACTTTATAATATAAATCATTATAATTGTATAAAAGAAATGATCATCAGTACTATCACATAATCATATAGAGCACAACCTTGTACTCATTTTCAGCATGCTAAAAATAAGATTAATTGTGTATATTAAATACTTTGACAAATTAAAACATTTAAACTTTCAAACCAAGAATTGAATTATAAAGATTTCATTGTGATCTATTGTAAAAACTCTAGTACCGTAAACTGCCGTATAAACGACCCCCCACATATCAGACCCTCTATGAATTAGACCCGGGTCTATAGTATGGGGTCAATTTTTGGTAAAATGTAAAAGACCCGGGCATACAAATAGGAATAAATATTTAGAAGATCCGGGTATGATACTGTGTTCAGGTATATAAATAAAATAAACCAATCAGAATTATTATAACAATAAAAACTTTTCGCGCTTAACATTACACGGATCCACATATTATATATACAGTATCAGTTTTTTTTTTTTATTACGTTTATTATTATTATTATTAATCTACCTTTTTATATATGTAGAGTGTATTTTTTTTGGTGTGCCGATCTTTCTTTCGCTTGCCGTCGCTTGTAGATGTCTATTGTAGGAGTTGTTGCTTGTAGATGTCGTACTCGTAGGTGTCATAAGTGTCATCGTCGTAGGTAGTTGCTTGTATGCATTGTCGTTTTGTATCTGTCTTCCTAACAATCTTTACGAATTTAATTAATAATCAAACCTACAGATGTTCCTGATATTGAGCCAACAATTACTTACAGAGATCATACAGCAGCCATAAATTCAGGTGGTCATTGCTTCAGAACAGTAAAATGTTATTCGACTAGTATAGATTCTACACTTCGTGTATGGAACCTGCCACCACCAAAACGAGACACTTACGGACCTATTGGTAATTATAGTTATATATATATATATGTACACATTATTGACATTGTATTTTTTAAGAAAATTTCTCTTATCAGAACTTAATTCTTATTTATAGATTCACCGTTAAACTTGACCACTTACATGGGTTATATGGATACTGTACTGTATGGGATTTTAGATTGTTCCCTATTCGTACTATAAATTAAATACTAGCTTTTAGCATCCGCAAAATTTGGAATACGGAGGCAGAACGATCGCCTTTGAAAAGTTCATGAGGATATTGCGGTAGCAACGGCGAACTACCAGTAATGGAGGTATATTGATGTTTATTATCTTAATTTTTAGTTTTATA